TGTAGTCCGAGTGGAAGTCCCGCGACGGGTAGTCCCCCGTCCGGTAGAGGCGGGTGTACTCCGAGGAGTAGTCCCGCGACCGGAAGTCGTTCTGGTAGTCCCTCAGGCGGAAGTCCCCGGAGCCGAACTCGCGCAGGTAGTCTCGTATCCGGCGCTCGAGCGGATAGTCCTGCATGGAGGAGGTGTAGTCTACCGAGCGGTGGTAGTCGTCCGTGTACGTGCGAGGCCGGTACTCGATGGAGTGGGAGTCGAGGGGGTACTCCCTGGGCCGGTACTCCTCGGCATGGCGGAAGTCCTGCAGGAACTCCTCCGAGAGCCTGTCCGACGAGAAGTCGCGCATCTGGAAGTCGCCCGAGTGCCGGTACTCCTGGCGGTAGTCGCGCGCCGACCGGTACCGCTGCAGGTACTCCCTCTGGCGGTACGGAGGCCGGAAGTCGTTCGAGTACTCCTCGGAGCGCCGCTGCTCCGGCCGCCGGCTGTCGAAGTGCTCGTTGAAGCGGCGGTCGTCGAAGCGGTGGTCGTCGAAACGCCGGTCGTCGAAGCGTCTGTTCTCGAAGCGGCGTTCCTCGGGGCGTCGGTCGTCCAGCCGGAGCGCGTCGGGACGCCGTTCCTCGGAGCGCCGCTCTTCGGAATGCCGGTTCTCCAGGCGCCGCTCATCCACGCGGCGGTCCTCAGACCGTCGGTCGTCGGTCCGCCGATCCTCGAGGCGACGGTCGTCAGTTCGGCGCTCGTCATGCCGCCGATCGTCCGTTCGCCGATCATCTGTTCGCCGATCGTCCGTTCTCCGATCGTCTGTTCGCCGATCATCCGTTCGCCGATCGTCATGGCGACGTTCATCGGTTCGTCGATCTTCGAGTCGGCGATCGTCGGGCCGTCGGTCCTCGCCGCGACGCTCCATGGACCGCCGCTCCTCCAGGCGCCGGTCATCGGCTCTGCGGTCCTCAGACCGGCGATCTTCGAGGCGGCGCTCGTCCGCCCGCCGCTCTTCGGACCGCCGATCCTCGCCCCTTCGGTCCTCGGGGCGCCGTTCCTCGGACCTGCGTTCCTCCTGCCGGCGGTCTTCCGAGCGGTGGTCGTCGTATCGGCGTTCCTGGGAGGCGTCTCGCGAGGAGAAGTCGCGGAGGTCGTTTTCGTGGTTGCGGCGCTGGGCCGCGCGGCCGCCGCAGCGCGCGAACTGCGGCTGGTCTGAGCGGAAGTCGAGGAGTTCGATGATCTCAGTCCGGTCCTCCTCACCTGCCAGACCAAGGGACCAGGGTCACGCCATCAACATTATGGGGGAGATGGGCAATATAACGTCAACATCGTGATTACCAAAGTGACAACGAGAGAAGAAGAAACAAAGGAAGAGCTCGGAAGCTGGGATCATCTCCGCTTCGTCATCTCCGAATCGTTATTCAGGAAGTCTACAGAATGTGATACTCATTCATGAAATAAAAGTACATTCATTAAGATTATTACGATGATGCAGTGCTATAATCTAAAGCAGGAGGTCATGTAACCTTTTCTCTCTTTTAAAAGCATGTGTAGAAAGTATGCCTTCCTTAAGCATTTGCAAAATAAATGCCCAGTAGCATAATCTCTACTAGATTATTCTTGCCATCACTATAAAATAAGCTCTGATACAGTATCTCGCATTGCAGCAACAAGCTCCTGGTCACTTAGTTATCACTTAGCAGCTGACACAGTCCATATTCCAATACGGACCTGAGTCTGGTCCCAAGCTTACTACACAACTTTGGTCTTACGCGGAACAGAAGTGATAATTACTGACCTACGTGTTTGCAAATAGAAACTCATATGCATCACTCATGTTTTTTTTTCTTCATATTTATACAAATGATTTAAGAGACAAGAAAAAACTATCTAATCGAAACGGGTATAAATGGTGATCTCTCAAAAAATAATAGTTAGGATCATAGGTCTTCCAAAAGATATATTAACTTGAAAAAGTGAATTTACTTCAGCATTCTACCCGGTACAGACTCAATAACATACCTCCCCACGTAGGCTGGATAAAACTCCTACAAACTACAGATAAAATTCATCGTGCAAAGGTACAGCACTATGGTTCACTTTTTTAAGTGCTGTGACAGGGGGGGAAGGGGGAGGGAGGGGGTCACTGTACACACCATACAACACAGGACACACACGGGACACATCTCAGGAGTAAGAGTGCAGAAAGTACTCTGTCAAACACTGTTGGGATCCGGTTATCATTATTATTATTGTTGTTATTTTTATTATTTTACATATGGGTTATTATTTCACCATCTAACTTTTTTTTTTACTTGGAAAAAAGAAAAATCTCCCTCGGCGAGATATATATATGAAAAAAATCTCAATATATATTCCAAAATCATCTTATATCCCTTGCTTTACCAAAAAAAAAAGAAAAAAAAGAAAAATGTATGGAATATATATAATCTAAGAGAGCTGACCTAGGCTCCGTTTCTGGTCACTCTGAAGCTGGGTTTTCAAACTACGCAAAAAAAAGTCTCGGTGTTTCGAAGCAGAAGCTCATAAAACGACAAAAGAGAGACAAAAAAAAGTCAAATCAGGAAAAAGAGAGGCCGATCACAAAATAGAAAGGCAAAGACAGCAAATAAGGAGAAGGGGTCAAAAAATAAATAAGGGAGAAACCAAAATGTCCTTATTATTGTTTTCCTTTTCTCAAAAAAAGAAGAAAAAAAAACCGTTAACGGGTGTGTTCAAATACAAGCTATTTGTTACGTGCCATTTTAAGATAGCGACATCCAAGAGAGATGTGTATGATATATATGTATAGTAAAATATACATATTTTCTTCTAGAACTCACTATCTATCTAAATAAATGTCTACCTGAGACAGATTACCTTGAAATTTAACTTTCTTTCCGTTTATCAAAATCTTCTGCAAGCGTCCGTTCTCTTGAGGCTGGAGAGCTAATTCACTATTGAGGCGATTCTTGACTAAAATGAGTAAAAGGGGGGGGGTGTTGATAAATGAAAGAATAATAACACACGGCGATGGATTATGCATATGCTTTAAAGATACAATGATACAATAGGACTAATAAAACTAGAGTTTAAGAGACACCGAGGTAGATGAATACACAGCAGAATAAAGTAAATACAAACAGTGTTGGTTTATGAGTGTTGAAGACAGAGAAATCATTTTCTTTTATTTCCTTTTTTTCTCTCTCTTTTTTTAAAGAATATAAATATCAGAACATCAAGTTTGTTTTGTCTCTCCCTCACACATATACATGAATTAGTGGCATCATTAAGTACACATTCCTCGAAGGTATGACGAAGGTATATAACTGAATGGTATAACGAATAATATTAAACTTACGTTATATCACAAGTAGGAGAGTTGGTCATAGTTCATTATCTAACAAAGGGGATTTAGAATGTCCAGTAGTTTTACCAGAGATTCAACATTCCATCATAATATATATAAAAAAACTGCAAATACCGTGACCAGTTTTCTTTGGGTAATTAGGCCAACACGAAAATAATAGACAGCTGAAGAAATCAAAATTGTTTAAAATTACCTAAAAATAAATATGCATGCAACCCACTTTAACCAAACTTTTACACACACATCAAATTATGTTTTTTTTCCTATCTCACTAACATTCTTCATTCTCACATCTGCACATAATTCCAAGTGCACTTTTTATTTATTTCATTCCCCACTGCAAGGTAAACAATGACCCAACAAAATCAATTATACAAAGCAAGGGGGAAAAACATGAGCAACATAAATGGTTGTTTTTTACTTAAACAATCTATACTGCAAATCAGTGAACAACAACTGGAGAATGAATATGGATGAATAACAAAACATACAATAAATACCAGTATATAAAACACAAATGTTCCTCAATCAAACTGATCGAGAAATGTGATATTTGAACCAACGTCAACATACTTGCTCCGAGGTCTAATATCACAGCATTTTCTCATACCAAGGCAGATTTTTTATATATATATGTATATATATAAATCATTCCTATTTATCATATTTTCAATTTCTATTTATTCTTATCATTATTTATCATCATCATTATTATCACCACAGGTTTTAACAGCAGTCCCACGTGCTGGGTCGAGACAGAACATCACTAACAGAAAGACTACTTAACCGACATCACGTATTAAGCACGTATTAGTCACGTATTAATCTTAAATCAAAAGAAAAAAAAAACATCGAATTAACTTTAATATCCATTATACTGCAGGTAAGAGAGACATAAAAATAAGAATAATCCTGTTACAGAAGAATAAGAATAATAAGAATAAAGATTAGGATTAGAACAAGAAGGAAAAGAAGAAGAAGAAAAAAAGAAGCAAATATCCAGTTCTCAGCGAAATTCACTTCCAGCCAATTCTCATTTAAAAAAAATCTCAAACACACGTCTTTCACTTTTATTAATATTTTTTTACTATGTCTCTCTTCTCCCTTTCACACATTTTTTAATACTTTTTTATCATTTATCCTTCCCCTCTTCATCCGCCTCTCATGCACTTTATATATACATTTTATTTTCCCCTATTAACCCCTCTTCATAAACCCTCTCAAAAACAAACAAAAAAAAGGGGATATAACAGAAAAAAAGGACAAAACGAAATGAAAAAAAGAAAGAATATCGAAGATACAGAAATAGAGTTAGACAGAGAAAGAGAGAGATAAAACAAAACAAAAAACAAAAAAACAAAAAAAAAAAATCAAGCACAGCTACTCACCTGCAACAGTCATTCGCTTGTAGCCCATCAGGTGAGGGTCATCCGAGGTCATCTCCTCGTCACACCGCGTCCTGATCTCGGGCTCGCTAATGGCCTGCTTGACCACGCCCCTGTCAGGCATTGCGTCATCGCCCTGGGTCAGCGGCAGCTTCCCCTCCTCCTCGTCCAGCCTTATCTTCTTCTTCTCCTCGTCCTCGTCCTCGAAGCCTCCCCTTCCGTCTTCGTCGCCTTCGTCAGCGCCTCCCTCCTTGTCGTCCTTCTTGTTGCGTTGAAAAAGGCTCTCCTGCAAGATGTAGGGGCGGGGGGAGAGGGAGGGGGGGGGGCGCAAATGAGGAGAGAAGATCCCGACAGGAAATAGCAGGTAATAATATGCTCCTAGCTTTTTTTTTTTACTTGCAAACAATTCTCAAGTTTCATCTTCTAGATAATGATATTCCTTATATTTCGTTAAATAAAATTCTCCCAGTGTCATCCTTACATTAATCATGACCTATTCATTTAAGATTTAAAAATATAACATATATCATTGCCACTTACCGGCCTGCGCGTCAAAAAATATTCGCAATTGCAATAAGTTATTAATAAAAACGGTCAACAACGCATTTTATTACTAGTGCAGGTAATTAGAATAAGTGGTTAATAGTCTTTAAACCTGTGATTATAAATGCCTTAAAGTGCTTATTAAGAATAGAATGTTACAGGAGAAATACAGTATCAAAGGGTTAGTTTACTACATGTGCACTCATATATACATGTGTCCTATATACAGTACACGCATACAAATACGCTATATATATATATATATATATATATATATATATATATATATATATATATATATATATATATATATATATATATATATATATATATATATATATATATATATTTGTATTTACAGTCATGCTTGCGTTGTGACTTCATGCTTGTCTTTTTTTAAAACTTGATTCAAGAAGATATTTTGGCAATTGCAGATTTGGTGAAAATGATTGCAGATTAAGAGTGCGTTTCTGCAGGTGGTAACAGGCCTAAATACTTTTATTTGTACAATGGTAGTGAGCTACTTCCCTTCCCCTTCCCTTTCCCTTTGACACTCGTGGGGATTCATTCACCTTGCTAATGCCAGGGGGTTGCTCTACTCTCTCTCTCTCTCTCTCTCTCTCTCTCTCTCTCTCTCTCTCTCTCTCTCTCTCTCTCTCTCTCTCTCTCTCTCTCTCAGTCCATCTATTTATATTATTCATTTACTCATCCCCTCCCTCCTTTTATCTCACCATCTCTCGGTTATTATCTATTCGGGTATATCTCTCCCCTTTCCTTCTCCTTTTCTCTCTCTCTCTTTGTCGCTATCTCCCTTCTCTCTCTATCTCAATCTCCCCTCTCTCTCTATCGCTATCCCCCTTCTCTCTCTTTCTCTAATTCTCTTGTTTGGAGGTAAAGAAAGGAAAATGACAGAAAAAGAAAGTGCAAACGACGACGGAGAAGAAAGAGACGAAGAAGAGAGCCAGAACGGAGAAGGGTAGGAGATAGAGCCGAAGGGGGGAGGGGAGGGAGTGGAAAGGGGAAGGGAGGGAGTGGAAAGGGGAAGGGAAGGAGTGGAGAGGGAGAGAGAGAGGGAGAAAGGGTGAGAGGGGAGAGAGAGGGAGTAGGGAGAGGGAGAGAGGGAGTGGAGAGAGGGAGAGAGGGAGAGAGGGAGTGGAGAGAGGGAGAGAGGGAGAGAGGGAGTGAAGAGAGAGGGAGAGAGGGAGAGAGGGAGAGAGGGCGTGAAGAGAGAGGAAAGGGGGCGATCCTGCACAAACGCAAGACTCACCCGTGTTAATATTCTACTCCAGAGATTATCAGCATGATTAAAACGAACCTTAAACACCTTAGCGAACCTCACAGATAAGAGCCCGTCGTTATTTAGTAGAGTGTGTCATGAACGACGCCTGTTATGCTCGCGAAAGCCTCCTAGTGCATGATTTTTCCCCATGATTTTGGCGCCATAATGCGGGGATTTCCTTTTCACGCAATTTCTTTCATTGATAATAGTTTGCACGATCGATAGTTATATGGTAGATGTATGTTTTATTGAATATTCATTTTTCTTTTGTGTTTATATATATATAAATATATATATATATATATATATATATATATATATATATATATATATATATATATATATATAAATATAAACACACACACATATATATTATCTATTCTTTTTTGTTCGTGATAAACAACCCATTAATTTCGCGACTTAAAATGTGACTTAAAATCGCGAAAAAAATAAGACAGGAGTTTTCATTTTTCAAAAGAGAAACTTTTCGAGGCAAAAGTTGTTTTAAAGTTTCGTGAATGTTGCGGAGGAAAGTTGCAAATCCTGTTGATAAACGGTAATAGCCTCTTTTACATAATAACAGTGAAAATAGCAATAATAATAATATCATCAATAATAACGAAGCTGATCAATGACGGACATAATAAATGAAGACGAAGACGAAGATATAATAATCACTTAAGTACATTTCTTAGTCTGTGTTTTTTTCCTCTTTTTAAAAAAACATGAATTAAATATGCCTCGTTAATTTAAACAATTAAATTGTGAATCATTCATTTTATCATTCTCTATTGTTTATTTTTTTTGTCTTTTTTCTTCATCTACTTATTCACCCTATTTTAATTTCCTCCAATTATTCTTATTTTAATAATCATTCTACTAACTGCTCTTCCTCTATTTATCCAAATATTCCCTTTTCTCCTAATCACCTCATCATTCACTATTTTTCTTTCTCTTCACCTCTATCTTCATTATCTTTATTATTCATCCTTTCGTTATCACTATCTTCTCTCCATCCTACCTCTACTATTTTCCTCTCTTTCTCATCTTTCCCCATTTACTCTATCTTTATCGTTTGTTTATATTCATCTTTATCATTTTTTTTTCATCCCATTCCATTCATTCATTACTTTTATTTCTCTCCTATTCATCTTACTTTCCATTTTCCTAATTATCTTCCATTCTTCTCCCTCATTCATCAAAATACGAAAAAAATAGGTAAGGAGGCCCGGGGAGGAGAAAGAGGGAGGTGAAGAAAATAATGAAGATAAGAAATTGAATAAACACAATAAATAAGAAAACGAAAAATATGTAGTAGTTGGAAGTGATAGTAGTAGTAGTAGTTGTAGTGGTAAGGAGCAACAGTAGTAGTACGAGTGGTTCGTTTAGTGAGCTAGTGGTAATAGTAACAGTAGTAACAGTAGTAATAGTAGTAGTAGTAGTAGTAGTAGTAGTAGTAGTAGTAGCAGTAGTAGCAGTAGTAGTAGTTATAGTAGTGATAGTAATAGTAACAGTAACAGTAATAGTAATAGTAATAGTAGTAGCAATAGTAGTAGTAGTAGTAGTAGTAGTAGTAGTAGTAGTAGTAGTAGTAGTAGTAGTAGTAGTAGTAGCAGTAGTAGCAGTAGTAGTAGTTATAGTAGTGATAGTAATAGTAACAGTAACAGTAATAGTAATAGTAGTTGTAGTAGTAGCAATAGTAGTAGTAGTAGTAGTAGAAGTAGAAGTAGTAGTAGTAGAAGTAGTAGTAGTAGTAGTAGTAGTAGTAGTAGTAGTAGTAGTAGTAGTAGTAGTAGTCGCAGAAGTAGTAAAAGCAGCAACAATAAAAGTAGTAATACTGGTAGTAGAAGAAATAGTACTCGTTTAAGAACTAATGCCAGTAGCAGCAGTCATAGGAACGGAAAAAAGAAACACAAAAAACTGATTAAAAAATAAACAAATCCATTTAAAACCTCCCCCTCCCCTCCCCCCTCCCCCCAGACCTCCAGATCTCACCCAACGAAGAAGAAGAAGTACGGAGACAGAGTGAAGAGAAGAAAAAAAATATGCAAGAAGAAGAAGAAGAAGAAGATGAAGAAGACGAAGAAGAAGTATGGAGACAGAGTGAAAAGAAAAAAATATATATACAAGAAGAAGAAGAAGAAGTATGGAGACAGAGTGAAGAGAAGAAGAAAAAAAATATACAAGAAGAAGCAGAAGAAGACGAAGAAGACGAAGTAGTAGTATGGAGACAGAGTGAAAAAGAAAAAAAAAATATACAAGAAGAGGAAGAAGATGAAGAAGAAGAAGACGAAGAAGACGAAGAAGAGGAAGAAGACGAAGAAGACGAAGAAGGTGCAAGCAAGTAACACGGAAGAGTGCGTGTGTGCCTGTGCGCCTCTGAGACCACGTGACCCCCGCCAGGAGCGTCACCATCCTTCGTGCCAAAAAAGGGATCGCATTCACGCCAAGGACATCCGCCCTACCACAATCACCCGAATCCGGATGAACAGCTGCAGGACGCGAGACTCATCCTCCATGTCGTCCTGGCGTGACTTGAGCTCCTCCGAGTTGAACGAGTTGAGCAGGAGAGCGAGGAAGAGGTTCAGGACCATGAAGTTGCCCATCACCAGCGCCGGCAGGAAGATGGCCAGGCAGGTTTCCGAACCCTGTTGGGGGGGGAGGGGGAGAAAAGGGGGGAGACGGGGATGAGAATAAGGATTATTTTGGTATTAATTAGTTTCTTATTTTTTTCTTATTTCTTAGTTCTATTTTCGTATTTCTAGAGATGGGCAAGGAAATGGCCAGGCAGGTTTCCCAGCTCTGTGGGGGGGGAGAAGGGGGGGGAGGGGGGTGAGAATAAGGATTATTTTGGTATCAGTTTCCTATTTTTTTTCTTATTTCTTAGTTCTAATTTCTTATTTCTAAAGATGGCCAGAGGGAGAAGTGGGGGGGGGGGGGGGGTTGTTAAGAGAACGGAAGAGCCGCTGGTGAGAATAACGCTTTTTCTTTCTATAAATTTATCATTTGTTATTAATAGCTTAATTTATCCTTTTCTTCCATTCTCATCATTCGTTTTTTTATTTTTATTGAGGATGGCTAGTTGAGATTATACGGACTTAGGATGCTAAGGACGGAAGGAAAGGTACGTGAAAATAATTTTTATTTGGGGGGGGGGGAGGTAGAAGAGGGGAAAGAGTGGAAGATGAATAAGAGGAAAGAGGAAAGAGGGAAAAGTAAGACAGAGAAAGAGAGAAGATTTTCAGAAGAGGGGAAGGAGGGGAAAGGGGGGAGAAGTAAGAAAGGGGAAGAGAGTAGATTTTCAGAAGAGGGAAAGGAAGGGGAAATATGAAAGGCAAGAAAGAGGAGGAGAGAAAGGCAGGGGAGAGGAGCCAGAAAGAGAAAGGGAGAAGGAAGAGGAGGAGGAAGGGGTGGGGGAGGGAGAGGAAGAAGAGGGGGAGAGGAAGAAAA